GGACTCGCGCAGTTCCGCCTTGCCTCGCCCGCGCGCTCGTCACGCACGACGCGAACCTGAAGCCACAGATTTTCCAACTGGGGGATTCCGTTTCATGTAATTCCCACCCTAGTTCGGCGATTCCGGTCCGATCATGTATCGATCGGTCTCATTATTTGTCTGTCGCGCTGTGTATAGGTCCATCTCTTCACTCACAATGTTGTCGATCTCATGGGCTGTCTGCCAAGGAAATCATGAGGGGCAACAGTCGGGACAACCATCAGGACAATTTTCGGGACAACTATCAGGACAACCATCGGGACCATCTATCATCCATCCATCAGTCATTCTATCGATCGGTCTAATTGTACGCCTACCTCAATACATCTTTTTCCGTTGTCGATCTCACTGACCTGTTCATTTGGACAGCATCCGTCGTGTTTTTCCCACGACGCGAAAATTGTCAGGTCTCAGGCGCCGCAGAGCTCTCTGGTGGCCCTGATCTCCCGTCGCCCTCCAGCCTCCGCCTGCTCCTCTTCCGCCAGACAGTATGTCATGGAAGCTGCCCCACGTCTTGAATTGGACGTACCTCGGCGAATATAGCCCCCAATAGCAAGCGCACCGCGCCCAACAGCACCCGACGGCGCTCAATAGCTCCAAATTGCGCCCGACTGGCGTTGAGTAGCACCCAACAGCGCCATGCGAGGTCAGTTTGATGGCCGCTTCGCGCGCATTTCGGCGCGCTACTGGGCGCCGTAAGGACAACCATCAGCTTCCATGAATTGCTTAGGATGCAACTCCTGGGAAGTTAAGGTACGAATCGGTTCTGGTACATTCGCGGACGAAATCCGGCCCAATGCGGCATACCTTCGTGTGATTCCGCTCAATCCCGTTGCTCTGGTTCAATCCAGGGCTTGATGCGGTCTATTCCGGTTCAGTGGTTCCTTGATCGGGCTTCATGGCCCGTAGTCGTTCTGACGAAGACTTCCTCTGAGTTGCTTCCTAGAGTCAGGGGGAGTAGAAGCAGCACCATCACCATTAGGGGGAGGGGGGGCACCCCCAGCGAGGAGTTCCACGATGCCTTCCCGCATTGGGGATATGGAATGCTTCGAGCGAGAGGGGGAGACCACACCACCAGGGGAATTCCCTGACTCCTCCCGCTGGTGGTCCCTGGCGGTGTGGGTGTCGCTTTGCCTCGTTCCTGCGACAGCTCTTTCCTGATCTTCATGGCGGCAGCTACCAGCGCGGGGAGGGCCGTGGTCCGCCGGCCGTGCCCCGCGCGCCTGGAGCAGCGCCTGGCGGCCCTGCGGGCAGCGGGCCACAGGGGCCTGCAGCTCATCGTGGATTTCGATCACACGCTCACGCGCTTCGTGCGGCCGGGCTCCCAGGAAGCTGCCACGAATCGAAGAAGAACAAACTGCATGAACATGTACTTTTGGCGCTCCGCGCAGATTTCTTGGATCCGCGCTGGGTCCCCCCTGGCGCGCGAAGCACGCCAGGGGCGGCGCCGAAGGCGCCGCCAGGGGGGTCCAGCGCAGATTCAAGAAATCCGCGCGGAGCGCCAAAAAGTTTTGTTAATGATTCTTTTCTTCATCGAAACAAGAGAGTCTTGGGGGCGGCCAAGAGATCGTTCTTGTATCCCCTCTGGGGTTAACACGCGTTACCCCCGCGTTTACCCCCCCCCCAGACCCCCTGTAACGGTGACGGACGCGAAGGGGCTACATGCGTGAATCCTCGCAGCTTCCAAAGAGCACCGTAAGGATCACACCGGGCGCTCAAGCGCACGCAGGCGACGACGTGCACGCAGGGTACTGTCGTGTACGCAGGATTTGCTGTGCACACAGGGCGCTTGATGTGCTGGTGGCGCGTCCCCACCCTGGCTGGTGCACGCCGCGGCCGCCGCTACCTTTTCCCCCCCGACCGCCCCCCCCCCGAGGTACTTGGCATCGCTCGGACGTGTGCATTTTCCCTTCGGCGAGGACCATCGAAGAGCATCCTTGATCATTTCGCGAAACAACCACGCACGAAACCGAAAAAAACACAGGAAATGGACGTCCGAGCGATGGCCAGCCCCCCGAGGTGCCACAATGGATAAAATAGCGATCTTCGAGTGGGTCGTGGTGACCAGAGGGGTGGGTCTCGTGGCCAAGCGCCTCATGCTATTTTGATGCGCCCCCTGTCCCCCCCGTGCCGCGCACGTGCCTCGGGCCATGCTTTGCGACCCACTCTGGGACGCCCCCCTGTACTCCATACAGTCGGGGCCCTGAAGAAGGAACCCTTTTCGTTGGGGAGGGGCTCCGCGCTTAAGTGTTTCGCAGTTTGCCTCAGGTTTTCCTTATGTTTTCGATCGGAAATCGAAGTTCACCTCATGGAAAAAAGGGGCCTCGTTCCTTATTTTGGGTTCCTTAGGTCAAGCCCCCGACTGTACTTGGACGCCCCCGAGAGTCGATCTCTGTGTTAACTCATGGGAGCCTCGCACACCCTTGACCTTCCGTTTTCAGGGTGCAGCAGCGTGCTTTAGGGGTTGGGTCATCGATGAGAAGACGCCGATGTAGCGTCGATAGGCGTCGTTCAGTGTCGTAGGATCGACCGCACGTTCGCGCGCTTCGTGCTGGCTGGCTCCCAGGACCGGCGAATCGAGCTCTGAGGATGTTTTCTGTTCCCCCCTGGGCTCCCGGAGGCCTCTGGATGACCTCTGGAGGCCTCCCGAGGAGGGGCAGGGAGAGAGAAGGGAGGACCTTCCGTCTTCCTATTTTATCCGTTGTTTGGCCCTGGAGGGGAGGGGGCAGTGAGGAGCATCCTGGAGACCACACGTGATTACGACGTGAACCTAACGTGAATCCGCCGTAATCCGAATTGAAGCCGACGTAAAGCCGATGTGGACCCGACGTAAACCGGGTCTCGGGTTGCCGCGCGAGGCCTCCAGGATTTCATTCTTAAATATTCGGACCCAGACATGCGATTTCCAGATTTTGTCAGTACGCGGTCCCCGGATGTCTGGGGTCCGGGGGGCAGGGGCAGGAGGGGGCGGAGGCCCTTCCCTCTTGGGGCTCTCTCGGTCCGTCTTGGGGCCCTCTGAGGCCCGAAGGAGAAGAGTCATGCGACAAAGGCGCGACGGGCCCCAGAGGGCACGCGGGGAGGCCCGGGAGATTTGGCAGTCTGGGGTCCGGGCCCCCACAAGGATCCTCAGCATTGAGGGCTGGGGCACACTCGGGCGGTTCCCTCAGGTGGTACACTCACCCGTGGTACAGGCGGGGTGGTCAACTCACCGAGGTGAGGTCATGCGGTCAACTCAAACACAGTCGGGTGATCGATTCGGCCATGGCCCATCCCTCCAGGAGTGGCTGCTGTGCGGGATCCGAACCACCCTGTCGCTATCAACAGTATTCTTCTCGTCGCCATTTTCCTTGTTGGCGTCGTTCTCATCCTTTTCATAACCATCACTCCCATTGCCATCGTCCGTAAAGTTTTGGGATCAGTGCCCTTTGACATGGAGTGTTAGGCAGGCTGACTTTCCGCACGAGCTAGGTGCCAAGCCGATCTCTCCAATGATCGTGCCATATTTATCTGGTATTGTCCGCCAAGTGGAGCTTATTTGCATTGCGGCCTGCGCCGCTATGATGCTGGGGCGCCTGGCTTGGCAGTTGTGGACCGAGGGCGCCTCAAGGTCTTGGTTTCACGATTACTATGCTCGATTGCTCGCGTGCCCTACAGTCGTCAGGATGGTCATTCTCGGGAGCGACGGCACTCAACAATCTGTTCACAAGCGCAAGCAATCCATCAGGCTTGCCATGTCACGGAGAAGCTACAAGTTCTTTAGTGTCGCAGCCGTCGGGATAGTTTTCCCGATCTTTTTCTTCCCCGCAGATGACCGCCCGTATATGGCTCCCAGGCGCTTGCATTACGCTTTCGCTGGGGTGATAGCTGTGTCAGTCAATGTGTTTCCGAGCTCGTTGACCCCATCACGACTTCATGTGTGGTATGGCCTTCTGTCACTCTCACATGCGATTTCTCTGTCACCGCTTCTGCAGTTCGCGGAATCGATCAGCCCCCTCAAGTTTCAAATAGTGTATGATTGCGTAATATACTGCATGATTGATTTCAGCCTTCCAGCGAATTTGTTTTGGACGACACTCTGCTATCTGTCCGCTGCGTCCACAGCGCTTGCTGGCAAATCCAATGGCATGCCGTGCCACGACCCTAAAACCACACATGACGTGTTTCTTGCTTGGATTGGTGTCGTTGCATCTTTGGTTATGTTGCACGTCGTGTTCTCAATGGTGGTCAGTGCCATCTTAGAGGCTCAAGCATGTCGGAGCGAGTTGCGCGCCGCAAAGTCGATCTTAGCAGGCGTTTGTGACGCCGTGGTCGAGCTCGATGCCAAGCTGATGCTCGCGGGTCCTTCCGAAAAGTTCTCGGCTTTGCTAATGCACAGCGAGCCTCGATCTTTGGCGGGAGCGAGCATATCGTCTTTTTTGGCCGCAGAGGCCGACCGCGACAAGTTTGCCGAACACGTAACCTCCAGTACTGCTGCGTATGATGACTTCTGCACGGCTTTTCACGTCAAACTGCGGGACACTTGTGGCATCTCTGTGCCGGTGGAGGTTTTCTGCGTGCGTTTCCGTAGTGGTGATGAAAAGGAGTCGTACTTTGTCGGCTTTCGAGAATTCGCGGACCTGGCTCCACCAAGGACGCACCCGAGAGTGCCGACAATGCCTAGTGCTGAAATGAAGATGGATGTTCAGAGCTGGGGTGCGTCGCACGAGACTGAACACGGTGATTCTGGCACCAATTCTGAAGGGGAGTCTGGCGTATCGTCTTCTATTTTCGAGGTTGCTGTTTGGGTCGACGGTATGTCACCAGAGTTAACCATGTTGCGTTGCACCACTGCCTTCGAGATGTTAGTTGGCAGTTCTTGGGCGCACATCTGTGCCACCCAGAGAACTCTTTTGCCCTGTACTCGGCCAGACCAGCGACATAACTAGAAGTTGTGGGTTCGCCATGCCTGCGAGGAGTCCACTATGTCCACTAGACTCGAGCTGCCCGCTGTGGACGGGGTGAGTTTCCGTTTCAGTAAGCAGCATCATCGTATGCGTTTCGCCATCGAGAACTCGCTGAGAGTGTCCGTGGATCCGCCAGGCGGCGAGGACTGGACTGAGGGCCTGGACCGACCTTCGTGCGTGGTGAAGCTCGTTCTCGAGAAGTCCAAGTGGATCCAGGGTCAGCGTTGGACCAGGCGCGTCAGCGACCCCGTGCGCTCTCACGCCCCTTGTCAGCAGGCGTCCTCGAGTCGGATGGCGCTGGCGCGGCCGCGGCCGCGGCCCCGGAGGACGCCGGCAACACCCTGACCCCACCGCGACTCATCGACCAGGCGGCACAGTCGGTGGTAACGAGCGGGCCGCGTCTCGAGGCCCCCGCGGGCGCTGGCGCGTCTCCGCCTGAGGCTGACAGCGACCAGAGGTCAGACAGCAAGGGGACCCGCGCGACTGGTGGCGGGTCGATCTCGCTCTGACTTGCAGTGTTGGCTGGGGAGTGGAGGACGGGGATATGGAGGAGGAAGAAAGTAACGATGAGGAGGAGGAGGGGCAAATAGGAGGGGGATGAGGTGGAGGAAGACGAGGAGGGGGAAAGAGGAAGAGAAGGAGAAGGAAGAAAAGGAGGACGAGGAGACAAAATCGGCACATTGGGCCAATCTAGGGGGCCCGCCCGCCCTCACGCGAGCGTGAGAGCTTTTCTAGAGGCGCCCGCGCCTCACCAGCCTTTCTCCCCTTCCTTCCGTTTTTCTCCTCTCCCTCCGAGGCCAACTTCTCCTCCACCTCCCTGACTCTCTCCACATGGGCCCCGCTCCTTCCGCCGCCGACGGCCCCCACTCTAACCAGCGACCCAACAACGGGGTTGTAGCATGCAACGGCTTGGCCATGCTCCCACGTATGCTGCCACGCGCTTCTGTTCATCGTAGGTGCCCTCGCAGCCGTATGGCTGCGAGGGCACCTACGATTCAATTGCGACGGCACCCATGGTCAACCGATGAGTCGTGCAATGGCTTGGCCATGCTCCCACGTATGCTGCCACGCGCTTCTGTTCATCGTGGTGGGACCGCAGCCGTACGGCTGCGAGGGCACCTACGATTCAATTGCGACGGCACCCATGGTCAACCGATGAGTCGTGCAATGGTTTGGCCATGCTCCCACGTATGCTGCCACGCGCTTCTGTTCATCGTGGTGGGACCGCAGCCGTACGGCTGCGAGGGCACCTACGATTCAATTGCGACGGCACCCATGGTTAACCGATGAGTCGTGCAGCGGTTTGGCCATGCTCCCACGTATGCTGCCACGCGCTTCTGTTCATCCTAGGTGCCCTCGTAGCCGTACGGCTGCGAGGGAACCTACGATTCAATTGCGACGGCACCCATGGTCAACCGATGAGTGTTATACTTGGTTGTGACAACTTTTGTGATGCCGTCGCACGGGGGGGGGGGAAAACCCTGCGCTAGGGAGGCTCACATCTAGGAAAAGGGTGAAGCCGCCTGGGTCTAAGGAGGCCTACCCCGCGTCGATCCTTAGGAGCTCTACCTCGGTCCTTCGATGCCTTATCTCGGTCCTGAGATCACCTTCGTTTCCTACCTGGCCGCCCACGTTGTTGAATATGGCAGCAGTTGTAATTGTGTTTTCGTATGGATTTCAGATTCATGATTGTTGCGGGCGTTAAACACTTAGAAACAAACCTAATGTTTTTTTCGTAACCGCAGAGCCGCGAGAACCTTATGGCCGACATAAATCACATTTTTCCCGTTGGTGGCTACTTCTGGACCAACCACAAATCTGACAACAAAACACGTGTGTTTCCGACGATTGGTGCTAGCTGATTCATATGTATTGTGCCGAGGGAAACCCACTGCATATATATATATATATATATATATGTGTGTATACCACGTTGTTGTTTTAAGGATTCTCTCTGGGGTCAACCATGCATCGCGCTAACAACAACGCTTGCTTCCGACAAATGGTTCAACTTGTTCATAGGCACGGCGCCGCGAGAAACCCGCTGCCGATATAAACCGTGACTTTGGTTAGTACGTTTCACTCCAACATCAACGAACAATTGGGCTATATAAAATTTTGAATACCGCCCGCCCTCAATCCGTGAAGCTCCTCCGTATGTTTAAAACGAATGTGCGCGTCGCTGAGGCGAGAGATACATTCCGAAAACTACTATGTCTCTCTCTTGCTGCGAACGCGCGCGCCCCGCCTGAGCATCCGTGTTGTGCAGATGCCCGTGCCCCTGCAGTGCGTGCTGGTGCCGCTCAAATGCTTCCCGGTGAAAGCATGCATCCTATGCATCGCTGCCCCTCCCCCCCGAGCCCCAGAGAACGTTCACCGGGAAACGCTTGACGCTCGGGGGGGCCATGAGGGAGGCGAGGGCCTGCTCTCAGGGAGGGTGAGCTCCAGTCGTTTCCTGGGGTCGTCCCCGCCCTGAAGCGCCAGCTGACGGCCACCATCGATGCCAACGATGACTTGATATCAAGCTGCAGGCGTGCAGCTTTCCTTACGTGCCATTCTGAGAGACAGGGAGAGAACCTAAGGACTAAGATCCTCAGGAGGTCTGCTGGACGAGGTTGAGGATGAAATGGGGCTGCGAAGGAAACTATTGAGGAAAAGACTAGGCAGAGTTACCAGCAGGAGGACGGGTGAGAACAGGAGGATGAGGAGGGGACGGAGCGAACCCTTCGCCTGGAAGTGCGGGCGCGGCACGCTGGACGTCAACGTGGTGTGCGTCGTCCTCCGCGAGGGCGGCGTCGAGGTCTTTCCCGGCGAATGGCATCAGCTCAGGCGCGACCCGCGCCTCCGCGCATGCCCGCTCGCCTATCGTAGCACCGGGGTAGGCGACGAAAGGGGGCGGACAGGGAGGGCGGAGGAAGGGTCGGGGAAGCGTCGGGGGGGTGGCCGTGAGTAGAGGGGGGCCGCGCTGCCGCGCGCCCGGGCCGCCCGGGCTTTCTCGCCCCGCCCCGCAGGGAGCTCGCGAAGTCGTGTCTGGCGGACGCGGCGGACGCCGCCGCGGCGGCGGCGCCGCCAGCGCCCGCGCCGCCGCCGCCAGAGCAGCATGGGCAGCAGCAGCAGCAGCAGCAGCAGTTGATCGCCCTTGCGTGTGAGCAGCAGCAGCAGCAACGACAGCACTGGGCGGACTTCGGGGTGATCGTTGCTGCGCCGGCGCAATGCAATCTGCTGTCTTGCGAGGGCGGCCCCCCCCGTCGGCGGCGGAGGAGGGGGGCCGCGACGTGACGACGGCGACCATGCTTCCATGCGACCACGACCGAGTAAATGTGGTCGGAGGATCGCGCCGCGTCGCCGACGCATCGACGCCGCATTTGCGATGCACTGGCGACGCGGCGCGACCCTTCCCCCGCCCTACTCGGACCCCATCCGCCTGAGGGGGGGGGGTCAGAGTGGCTGGGCTGCGAGGGGCGCGGCCTGGCGGGCATCGGCGGCGGCTGCGGGGGGGGGCCCTTGCCCGCGCCCAATGGCCCGAGCAGAAGCGGCAGGGCGGCGCGCGGCGCGGCAGTCGTCTCCGCCGTCGATAGTCGCCGTAGGTCGTTGGTCGTCGCTTTCGCCGTCAATCGTCGCCGCGGCGACGACGGTCGACTGAGGAAGCGACGACCGACGATCGACGGCGATCGACGGCAGAAAAGAGGACCGACGATCGACGGCGGAGACGGCGACGATCGACGGCGGAGACGGCGACGACCCGTCTCCGCCGTCGATCGTTGCCGTCGTTCGTCGTCGAGGTCGTCGTCGTCGTCGTCGTCGTTGTCGTCGCCGGGTCGGCGGCGTCGTCGTCGCCCTCGCCTCAGGCCGTCTCGACCGTTGCCGCCGAGACGGCGATCGACGGCGGGCGCGACGGCCAACGATCGACGGCGAAAACGACGACCAACGATCGACGGCGGAGACGGCGACGATCGACGGCGGAGACGACGACGATTCGTCGCCGTCTCCGCCGTCAATCGTCGTCGTCATTCGTCGTCGTCATTCGTCGTCGAGGTCGTCGTCGTCGTCGAGGTCGTCGGGGGCGCCCTGTCGTCGACGTTGTCGTCGTCGGGTCGGCGTCGTCGTCGTCGCCCTCGCCTCGGGCCGACGGCTGTCGGCCCGTCGCAAAAGTCATTGATCCGAAAAGGCGATGCGAGGCCGGGCGCGCTCGGAGCGGTTGTAAGCATTTGCCCGCCGAACCCTAGCCGCCGACTTCGCGGCGCAACAGCGAGCGCCCAAGAGGAAGCTAATGCCCTACATGCCGCCGCGCTGGTTCCGGGCGGGCTGCGCGGCCTGGCGGAGGGGGGCGAGGCGGGGGAAGCGCCTGGAGGGTCGCGAGCTGGTTTGGGCGGAGCTTTTTCGCTCCGACAGGGCTCGAGCTGCATCTGCAGCATGTTAGAGCTCTGTCTGGACAGGGAAGCTGTAGCTGGACATGCGCCAACTCCAAAAGTGATCTTATGTAGATGTTCACAGAGGTTTTGCAGCGCAGCCGACATGCGCTTTACATGTTTAGCGTGAGATTTGCAGACGCATCGCCAGCGCGTCACAAATGAGGGAGGAGGGGGAGAGTTAGGGGATACTGAAGGGAAGGAGGAGGAAGAGGAACAGGAGGAGAGGAGGAGCAGGGGAAAACAAAGAGGCAGAGAGAAGGAGGATAAAGAAGAGAAGAGGAGGATCAGGAGGACAAGCAGGCTCATCTCTCGGGGCGGCGCCGCGGGCGGAGGGAAGGGCGTCGGGAAGGGCGTCGGGCCCCGCTCGTTTCCTTTCCGCGCTGCAGCCGCTGCTTCTGCAGCTGCGCCCCGCGCCCCGCCCGCCCCCTTCTCGATTCTTTTTTAGGGGGGCGATTTCTGACCGCGCCCGCCTCCCGAGGCGCCCCGACCCAGGGGGGTGGAAAACCGCCCGCCTCCACCCCCGAGGGGCTGACGTAGAACCGAGGGCCCAGAGGTGCACGGGGTTGGTCAGGAATCTGCCTTCGATTTTTTGTCGGGCGAGCCCCCCCTTCAGCGGCTCTTCTATGAACCCCGCCCTCCCGAGCGGCACCCCCCTCGAACCCCCCAGGCGTGGAAGAGGAGGAGGGGGGCTTCGAGGGGGGGGGGGGAGGGGGGGGGGGGGGCTTCGACAAGCTAGGTGCCTCGCGTCATATCGCACGCCCTACCCCCCCCCCCCCCCCCCCCCCCCCCCTCCCACCCCTTACCACGGCGCTGATTTTGGCGCTGATTTTCTCTATCCGCGGACGCGTGTCGTAGCGGACCTGTGGCTCCGCGCGCGCGTGCGTAGTGGGTGGTGGTGCGCGTGCGTGCGTGCGTGCGTGTGTGCGTGGTTGT